GCCTGGAAAGAATCTGGAGAGGATAAACTAGCTGAGTGGCTTCAAAATGTGTATTTGACAAAGCGCTGGGAGCGCTGGAGTGTCAATAGTTCATCAGTACCAGGATTTCTTCCCTCCCAGCAGCCTATTGAAAGCCATCACCGCGTCATTAAAGTAATCGTCACTGACTATAAAAAAGCTCCTACAATTACGGTGCTGAATTCCGTGTTGCCACGAGTACTCCTGTACGACGCTACCAATCTCACACCTGAACATCATCGGCATTACGCAGAAGGTTTGAAATTTATGTATTATTATTATTACGAACATCAACCCATTTAGTTATTATTTTTCTTTGTGATGTTAGGACCACTTCCTATTAATGCTGTCGTGAAGGTAAAAGAGCAATTACTTCTCCCTGATAACTACTGCATCGCTAGGTCTACAACACGAATTCGAATATTCTTCAATAGTGATAACACGATGGTACTACCGATGGCCGCAGAAAATCTATCCGCAGCAAGTGTAACTGTGGAGCGAACTGAGCGGTACGGTTCTTAAACGTATTAACTCACTTACAAATCTATCTGATATGAAATTGTGTATTGAATGAATGTTAAACTAGATTCAAGAACTCGTTGTTGGGAAAGCTTGGCCCATCTCAACCTATAAACGAAGCCGAAATCACATTTCTATCTCTACAGCAAGTGACTCTAGACCGACGGGCGCTCATGCAGATGAATCCGCTAATACCAAGATCAAAGTGGTGTTTCGATGAGGTACACCATGGTGCCAAACTGTATTCCACTTTACTTTATCTAAATAGTATTTTTATATGGACAGATATGCTTAATCAGGAATGTGTTCCGTTGTACCTGCAAAAAAAAATTATGCATACAGGTTGGGTGTGCTCCCACGTAATCGCTTCCCTCGACTTGCTGAATAAGCTCAAAATTGGATTAGCGTTGCAAAAGATCCCGATGCGAGGGTTGCCTGGTCGGCGGAGAGCTCTCCTGGGAGGACTGACACGTGACTCAGATCCCTGTGATGTCGATCGACTCATTCAACTGTTCACAAAGACCACTGTAGGCCTTTTAAAGTGGCCTGTTGTCCAAGAATTTGATATCGAAGATGAAGGAAAAACATACAAGGAGCATCGAGTTGGTCAAGCTGCAGGATGCAGATTGTCTGCGACAGAAGGAGTGTACGTGTGGAGCGTTGTCTTCATCCATAGAGATTCGCTGGAATATCAAGTCGAGGGACTGGCCCATGCAGTTCGGCGCGCTCATGCACTAGGTACCCAGTGAGCACAACACAGTGCGTGACTCTTAACTCCAGCGTTTCATTATTACATGCTAGTACATCTCTGCTTGTCCGGACGAACAGAAAATCAGATTGTACGCACTGACTTCGATGTTGCCTTCTCTAAGCACTGACTTTCTGTTGGTAGCAAAGCGAAACAGATTTTCATTGTACTGGTTTTACCAACAGATTTTCCTTCGGGAACAGTAGGCAACATATGTGTCAGTATTTGAGCAACAGGAATTTAATAGCACCCACTAATATCCCACTCGATCGCAGCTTCTCCTCGGAGCTCATAATTAAACTATCGTCCTCCAGCATGCCCACATCATATTTGATTGTAATACCGATTTAGTACTCTTTTGGAGTTCGAATAGCCTCCAATCGAATGCCAGCATGTCGAGCCTGTTGATCTGCTTAAGTGTTAGATCCAAGTTTGCGCTTGGTATCGCACAAAGTATAAGCAACAGGACATCATGACATGGAATGAAATCCTTGCATAAAGGTTTTAGCTACGCATGGACACGGTGCTGCTGGCGACGGGCTTTTACAGTTTCCAGATTAAAGATATTCGCTGGGTCTCTGACAATGCGCCTTTAGCACGGACGTCAGAAGCTCACCCATTGGACTCGGCATGACCACCATATTCGGTGCCTTGTGAGTAGGACTAAGCAGCGCAAGTTTGCGTGCGCTTTGAGCTTGGTTGAATCTTGCAACGGCGGCTCGGAGCATCATGGATATTGGTTTTCCTGTCCCAATTTGAACAATCTGCCTTAACGTTTTAGATGATATTTTCATAAGTGTTTTCCAAAAGCTGTCCAAATGATGGCAATTTACAAATCCACTCGTTTAGTCTACTGGGCTAGTTATTTGCTAAAATAACTTATCTCAGCTTTGCATTGGTTAGACGAGAGCGACTGCGTTGCTCTGTGAGAACATTACAAGGCATTATTGTTTATTTGCGCAAAATGATTCACGATAGGCATCACTTCACTACTGGGACCACCACCAACAAGAGGACCGGCGCTGTATACTACAGCTGCAAGCAGGTCCGTCATGTTTGTGTAGCCAGCCTGATTCAGGGGCGGATTTTCATACAAAATGGGGGGGGGGGGGGGCATACCCCCCCCCCTTCCCCCAATTTGCCCCCCTATTTTGGCAATCTTCTACCAAAGCATTGAAGAATGGTGAAGCGACTTAAAACGACGCCGATCACTACTTACTTCTCGAAGCGACCACGTGACGACGTTGTCGACGGTGAAGGAGAACTGACACCACCTGCATACCAGGCTTTGGACCAGCGCGAGGACGCTGGGGTAGTATCGTGAACTAAAAACGGTGTCCCGAACAACGCACTCGATTGTACAATTAGTGACTTCCTAAAACGTGATCCCGCCGACCGCCCCTCGAATCTTTTCCGCATAAAGCAACTATCTCAAGCACCTGAGCTTTTGAGACGAGTGATACGTGCCTACGTAATTAAGGTCCCTTTCAACCCGGCAAATTTTATTCTATGTTATATTGGAGAAAGCAAATACGCTTTGGATGTATCTTCAGAAGAAGAACATGGATATAGTATTGGTTACTCGTCTCGTTGACTAAACTCTCAACGAATTATTACAAATACGTGATATATCCAATTCTGATGACGACTCAAGTTTTCCTTCGACTTGGGATAGAGCTGTCTGGTTCTGTGAAATGATAACGAGAGATGACGAGGAATCTCTTATCCCTGACAAGAATGACATATGGATGAATATCATCACATATCCGACCTTACTTGAATTTTGTATGCGCTTGAACTGCCTATGACAGCACTCAAACTAATTTGGACCAATCATAATTCACTAAATGCTGAGTTTCCACCAATAGATCTTATTAGGGGTAGGTAAGTCATCTAAGCCAGCCATTCCGACGTATCAGGTCGGACGGACACGAGAAATATGTGTATGCCAACTCAAAAATTAACTAACCTACATATCACTTACATATTTGCAATACATCCGACAGGATGGGACTAGAAGAGCTCAAGCCAGGAAACACAAGACGCGCTAAGGCAACCGCCATCGCGGCGTTCAAGGCTTTTGTTAAGAGTGAGTCTGTAGATTTTGAATATGTAAGGAGATGCATTGAGAAGGATGATAGTGGAAAGTGCATTGTGTCTATCTTAGATATGTTTGGTATGTATCTGGCCTTTAACGAAGGCAAGAAGGGCAAACAACTTGCCCG